GTGCTGCTGGGGGTGCTGCCGCCCCTGCCGGGCGGGGGGCGGTGGCTTCCCGCTGGCGTGATCCAGCCCACCGGGGAGAGAAGCTGTTAGCTTTCGAAAGAGCCTGCTAATTCCTCTTCTAAGCAGGTTAAGGCACTATAACTTCAGAGGAAGGCACAAGGCACCGTACCGTAGCAAACTCCTGAGTAACCGTTGTCTGAAGTATTTTGGTGACTCTTTGACCAGCTGCAGAAAAGCGTTCAGTTTTTAATCCTTTACTTCTCCCTCTAACAGGAAAACAAAAGCCCTAAACAATGCTTGAGGGAAGGACACTGTAGGAATTTGCAAATGACGTTTTTTGCATGCAAAAGATCGATGGTAAGTGTTTGTGGTGTGTTTTGTGCTAGAGGCCTAGGTGCTTTCTGTCCTTTTCCCTGCTTTCTGAAGAAACCCACTTCTAATTTAGTAAAATTGGTATCATGAAGCAGAACAGGTCTTGCCTTCGAATCCCGCTTAAAATATGGATGTCGTGCACTGTTCTCATGATGGAAAACAAGGTTGTAGAGTGTGACAAAGATGGAAAAATGCATATTTAAATTGAATTAGGCTTAGAATGTGACAGGTAAATGAGGTAGGTATTTTTACTATTGTTTTTGGTAAAGCATTGGTTTAAACAATGTTAGTAGATCAGGTAATCGTAAGACAAGATATTGACGAGCTAATTTTTGTCTGTGAGGTCATTGGAAGAGATGCTTATAGAGAACATTTAAGTGAAAAGGGTATCCTATTGAAAGATTTTCACTGATGAAGCAGGCTCTTGCATTCAAGTTGTGCTGCCATGAATTTTTTTGGAGGACTTTAATTCATGACAACAGATGTTCTGGTTTTTTTTATATAGTGAGCTATCAAGTATGGTAGTTAGATGTCAGTTTTTAAAATGTAGTTAGATAAAGTTTCCCCTATTTTGATAGGAGTTCCTTGTCCAGAAATGGCTTGTGTTTCCATGACATGGCGAAGATGGTATCAAAACTTGCTAAGCATGAGTAGTGTAGGGCTCACTTTTACTTTCAGACAAGGTGATACATAATGAAGACTGTACAGCTGGAACTGTACCTACAATTTTTCTTCCAGTCTGTATTTTTACTAGTCATAGAACCACAGAATGGTTTGGGTTGGAAGGGACCTTAAAGACCATCCAGTTCCAACCCCCCTGCCGTGGGCAGGGACACCTCCCACCAGACCAGGTTGCTCAAAGCCCCATCCAACCTGGCCTGGAACACTGCCAGGGAGGGAGCAGCCACAGCTGCTCTGGGCGACCTGTGCCAGTGTCTCACCACCCTCACAGTGACCAACTTTTCCTAATATCTAATCTAAATTTCCCCTCTT